CATCAGAACACTACGATTTTAAAGCACGATATAAAAGAAAATGACGTTGATGGTACAAAGAATTATGTGGGAATTATTAAATGGCTATGGATTCCAAATCTGAACGCAAACCCACACCTCTGATGCAATGAATGCCACAGTTGCAACAACAAAAAAAAAGATGCCTAGGGAATACCTAATGTATAACCAACTCAGGTGAAGTCTTGATGAAATGGAGTTGTGCCGAGTATCTACAGAAAGGACCGAATTTTGAACTGAATGTGGTGGTCTTAAATACCCATGCGTATCATTCGCTCCAGGACCTGCTTCGGCGGGGGTCGTCTGTGCGGTGATTTGAGTATTTGACCCGGTGTCTCTCTCTTGCGAGTTATTTTGTTCATCTAATACATGCATTTCAAATGTAGATCCGTGTTGCCTCTCGCCATTAGCACCTCGATTGGTAAAACACACTTTTATGGATTTTATAATTTGAGCACAGGCTCTCATAAATGACAGGTCTTCTCCATTATGTGAAGCACTATATTGTGCTTGTCTTTCCGCTATGTTCTTCTTTTTGAATCTAGCCAACTGAATCAAAATTGCCACTAATATGTAAAGTACAAGTATGGTCAAGACAAAAACTGCAGTGGCAACCCCTTTGCCCTCTTTCTGGCACACCGCCGAGACAGCAGTTTTTATCGAGTCGAAAACCTTTTTGAAGAATTGTGAAATTTTGACTCCGCTCATGTTGTTGGGAATACTTCTAATTTGAAATATTTCTTAATGTGGTGACAGTATTATGGAAGAAATGTATGGAGGTGGAAATAGGTAAGTGTGTGTGGAGCTATGGAAACGGAGTGGATAGAACTTAATATTAAGTTACCAAAGGTATTCTGAAACTATCTTTTTATCCCATCACGAAATTATTATGTATCCAGAGTTGCAAAAAAGGNTAATGTGGTGACAGTATTATGGAAGAAATGTATGGAGGTGGAAATAGGTAAGTGTATGTGGAGCTATGGAAACGGAGTGGACAGAACTTAATATTAAGTTACCAAAGGTATTCTTGATTTGATATTTACTTAGCATCCTGAAACTATCTTTTTATCCCATCACGAAATTGTTATGTATCCAGAGTTGCAAAAAATGGTATGTGTGACTTGTTTTTGTGTCATAAATGNTTGTGTCATAAATGCTCACCACTTTCCTCATCCTATATTCAGTGTGTGAGTGCTTCAAAATACGCATCGCTTACCCTTAGCAAAACAGTTTTTGCCCACTGAGTAGAATGAAGCTCTCTGATTTACCATTTGAGATAATTGCAAGGACTCTCCCTATTGATGAGCACCTACTTGACCTACCCGATACCGTTCTTTTCCCCTGGCTCAATTTGCTACCGCAGAGACAATGTTTGAAGATGTTGGCTGAGAAAGGGGTAGGCTTAGGTTTGGCACAAAAAATATCCAACGG